CCCCCCCCCACTGGGCTGACTTCCCAGGTGAGTCTTCAGGTAAACAGGTTTCTGTGGGGACAAATGTGGGTAGTGCTGCCCTTTAGATGCTGTAATTGCCCACTCAGCTCAGGGACATGGGGCCTAAGCACCACACTGTCCTGTCCCTGTTCCCCACCCACCAGGCCCCCAAATCTGCGTAGTACATCCATTTGGGAATGGGCTGGCTGTCTTACGGTAATAAGACAGGATGAGTGTAAGGTGCGCCTTAAGTCCCTCTTTTGAGATGTTACTAGGTGCCATCCAGCCAGCTCCAACCCACAGCGACCCCCCCCACCCCCAACAGAGCAAAACCCTGCCCGGTCCCCCTGTCCTCACAACGGTTCCTGTGCTCAAGCCCACTGCTGCTCCCCGGCATCCCTCCACCTCCTTAGGGCCTTCTCTCCCTCTGAGACAGAAGAGATTAAATAAGCATCCATCTAGAGGAGCGCGATGCTCACACACGGGCGTCTGCAAGCAGCCAGAGGCAGAGGCTAGAGAGACAAAGACCCTCCTCCCGCGTGCACACAGGGAGACGACACCAGCGCCCCACACTGAGGAAATCAATGAGTTGCTACAGCAGTGTGAGGTAACGAAGCCTGAACCTGTATCGAGTGGGGATGCTGCTGCAGCGCACGCCTAAACGTGGACAAGGCTGTGGACACGGGGTAGAGACTGGGAGAGGATTACGGTGCCTGACAAGAAACGCCTAGATTGCCTTGAAGAGACTGTTGGTAGAGGGATGGGTGTCGAAGGCGATTCTGGTAAGGGCTCCGGAGTGAAGGGCACACACAGGACGCCACTAGAAACATGCTGAGTGTGCTCACGTGACGACTGGAAGGGAGATGATGAACCTGCTTGGACGAGGGCGGAAGGGTGTTTTCATGCACTCGCAAGGACCCTGTCTGAATTAGCGTCAGATGTTTGGGGGAAGGTAGGACTTCTCTATAAGTGATGAACTTGGAGAGCTGACGGAGACTGCTAAGCAGTATCTTAACAAGGCCACATGGTTTCTCCTGAGGCTGATCGTAAAAAACACAAAGCTGAACTTAGCAATGAACTGTGCACAATGAAAACTAAACCTAAATATGTGGAAAATTCACTAAGGATGTGGCGACACAATCTTTTGTTAGTGAGGGAGCAAACCAACTACAGGACAGTAGAAAAAACCCTCCAGCGCAGGCTGAACGGGACGGAGGACAGAAGACTAGACACTGTCTTGGAACTCTAGGGACAGGAAACGGCCCAAGAGGCTGCATGTGCTGTTCTCCCAGAGAGGGTCCTCCCTGGAGCAGCCTGGGCATCCGCAGAGCTTTTAGAGGGAATACCCAAAGCTGGGCAGAAGCCCGTCTGCTGAGCGTCAACGGCCAGGGCCATGGCTTCCTACTTAGGAGTCAGATCTTCAGAAGTTCAGTTCAAGCGTGCAGGCTGCCATTCAGATGGACTAGGAGAATGGGGCCACCTCCAGTGGACCTAGAAGGCAGAGCCCAAGCCCACTCTTGGAATCCCCATCCACAACCAAGAGATTATGGCCACCACACAGTCTGGCTCGCAGGACACAAAAGAGAGGGACACTTTTCAAACCCTGAGGGTGAATGCAATTGTTCTGCTGGGCTTTGAACTTGCTTGGTGCCTGCTTATCTGTTCTTTCCCTCCACTCCTCCCACTTATCATGGAAATGTGTCTACCTTGTACAGAGTTTGACCAGTGTACTCTGGAAGCAGATAGCTTGTATTCTAGTCTGTAGATGAAGACTATATTTGCTTGACATGATTTAGGAGATGAGATTTAAAGTTGGAGTTGATTTAAGACTTTTACGGTAATGTGATGGGGTAAATGTGGCAAGGCCATGAAGTTTGGGAGGCGAGAGGGTGCAACTTTAGAGACTGAACTACATCACCCCCAAATTCTTATGTATACCTAAGAGTTCCTTAAGGGTTTTGTTGAAATGGAGGTTCCAAGCCAGTATATCTGGGGTGGAAAGGCAAATTCTCAGCAGGAGATCAAACTGGGATGAACTGATTCCAAGCCAGTGAACCCTAACCTGTACAGCCTGTGGACACACAGTGACCATGACAATGGGCTTAACCAGGACACATGTGAGGGTGACTTAGGACCAGGCAGCATTGGGTTCTGTTGGGCAGAGGGTCACTGTGAATCAGAACTCATTTGACGGGCACAGAAAACCTTAACTATCACAGCACCTAACAACAAAAACAGCAGCATGAGGAGCCCTGGCGGTGGCACAGCCTAAACAATGGGCTGCTGGGTGAGCAGTTCAAACCACTTCACGGCTTTGTTTGGTCTGTCTGTTGGGTCAGTGAGACAGAATTAGTGTGGGGGTGTTTTAATAAGCCACTCTCCTCTGAGACATCAAAGAGATCAGTCAGGGAACAGGAAAGGCAGAGATGAGGGAAGAGACATGCCAACGCCATATGAAGACCCCCTCCCCCACCGCCCAGAAGTAGAAGCTCAGGGTCAGCACCTGGCACTTGGGTTTCTCTCCTAAACTGCAAGAAAATAAATTCCCGTTTGTTAAAAGCACACATTTGTGGTGTTTCTGCCACAGCAGCCAGATAACAAAATGACTAACCAAGTACAATATTTTCATTTTCCTTATTTCAAGCAAAAGATACCTGCTACGATTCAGAGGCGGCTAGGAAAAGGAATAACTGTGTAGGGACAAAGTCTGCTGTGTGAGAAGACACAAAGGTACACTGCGACAAGCAGAACAGACACACAGACACAGCTCTATCTCAAGAGCAGTCATTTCTCAAAGCAAACACAGAAACCACATTTCCCATCTCTACACGTGACTTAGGTTCAAATGCTTTCCCACAGGCCCGCCCCACCATGTCTAGGCATTTGGATAAAGCTTCCAACACGTACGCAGATGATGAAGCACAATATTAAGTCCAATTTTAATAATGAATATATTGGAGTTTAGCGGTGTGCTCCACAAGATTCTCCTTTACTGGAGTGTTAGCATTAATAAGGTTGGCCCATGTATCTTTACAACGGCCAAGCAGGATCTCTACATTCTAGTCTGCCTTGACATTAGCAAGCAAAGTTGCTTTGCTTTTTTTTTTAGTTAATATTATAAAGTAAATGTAAACAATTTCCCCATATATCCAAGCCAAAAAACACATGTCCTAAAATGGCAGGGGTGGTGGTGGTGGGAGTAGGTCTGTTATAAGCGCACGAATAAACTTAGAATTACTAAGTAGTTACTTTGCAAGTCTGACCACTCAGTTTTGGCCAAATCAAGTTTTACTGCGTTTCATGGTGAGGACAAACACTGGACTAGGTGGCAGAAGTTCTAGCTAACTAGCTGTCCCGCCTCTTGAAGGAGCGAACCCCTACACACCCCTAAAGAGGCCTTCCCTAAGGTGACCAGACGTCCCGCTTTTTATCAATTATTCCCGAGTCTGGCGGCATTTTTAAAAAGTCCCAAGTTTTGGAAAGAATGCACAAGCTAGGGTAGACGGTTTTCAGCTGCCATCTGGCCATTTCGCCAGGATATGGGTTTTATCAATGGTGTCCCACTTTACCAGTGTCAGGATCTGGTCACCTTCCATCTATACGTAGTGATGACTCTACGTGCCTGATGCACAAGCACAGAAACTACACACCTATTTTACAGTCGGTGCTTCTCAGGTTACTGTTGGGGGTTCTGCTACAAAGCCCTGAAATTCATGAGATTCCCCCCCCCACTCCAAAATGGTGGGGGGGTGCAGCTGCTGGGCATTCTTTCCTGCTGCCCTGTCACCTGTGTTTTGTAGACACAGATGACACTCCTGATCCATAATTAGTGGGTGACGATTGACCCCATCAGGTCTCGGGCTGTCCTCCTGAAAAAATGCCCTGCACGATGCCAGCGGCAGGCTGGCTCGCGCGCGAGCGAGTCCGTGAGGATGAGGCTGCATTCATTCATCTGTGCGAAGCCAACTGACCCGTTAGCTGAACGTTGAAAGGACGACCCTACCTGGTCGGGCCGGTCTTCAGGAAGCCGAGGCTGGCGAACAACGGCTCTCCATTCCGGCCTGAAGTCAGGCAAAGGTAGGAGCCCTACAATCGGTGGCAGCGCCCATTCTGTAACCCGGGGCACGTGTGTAAAGCACGCTCCGGTCCGGAGGTTAGAAACCAGGACCCGCCACGACCCTCAAAGGCTGGATCTCGTCTGGGCGCGACAGGGCGAGGAGGGCGGGCCCGCAGTCGGACCTGAGCGGCCCGCGGGCAGGTCAGCGTGCAGCTTGGGCTTGCTCGGGATTGGGGGTGGACAGGAGCAGAACCGGTAACAATCGCGCTCGCTTTTTTGGTTCGTTTTGATTTTTAGGGAGCGGTGGTCCCGCGAAAGGGAGAGACGGACGCCAGCACCTAGAGCGGGGCTCCTGGAATTCGCTCCCAGGTCAGCATCGGGGGCGGGGCGGAGGAGAACGATGGGAAACTACTTGGACATCAGGAACTCGGCCAACTGTTCAATTACAACCACTCAGTGGCCCCGGCTGCGTCCGTGCGGACGCACCGGTAACCGGGCAGGGCGCTCGGCGAAGCCCGCAGCAGGAGGACAAAGGGTCAGTGGGGTAGCCCGAGCCGCCCCAAACGTGGGTGCTGTCGGGAGGGCGAGAAGGCGGGGCGCCTTCCACGGGTGGGGAATCAGCCAAGGGGAGAGGAGAGAGGTGCGGGGAGGCCCCACGGCCCCGCACGGCCCCCTCCGAAGATGCTACAAGAGCGGGGGAGCATCAGGCGACCCGCAGGGAGAGCTCGGGGGAGAGGCGGACGGAGCCCGCGC